TCGTACACTTACTTGCGCATTTCGTGGTTGCATCTGGTCTAAACGTGCCAGTCTGGGTTAGGTCTGGGTAGTATCGGTCCTCGATATCGTTCTACCTGTATACGACCCTTCCTATCTTGACGTACATTTAGTCTCCTTTCTTCGGCTCGATGTCGTGATAATTCCTTCGCCGACCCTGTTGCGCAACCTGTGGACCGTGAAGTCATTTCTTACACTTTTCTTACATTTATAGTTAATAACTATTCGCCTCACAAGCTCGATGTTTTTGTTGAAGTGTCAAATTATTCATAATTAAATATTTGCGCATTCTAAATTGCGCGATAGAAGAAAGGGATGAAATATTGAAAAGTATATATAGCTAACAATTTCTTTCACTTTTTTAGAAATACAGGTAACTCTCCTATAACACGATAGATAGGTTCTTAGAAAATGCCGTGTTGTGTGAAACCGTGTTATATGAGATCCAGAGCCAGTATAAAAAGAGGAGTTACGTTCCGAAAACTTATTAACAATAAATATTTTTTTTTAATTCTACATAAGCAACTTAATTTTTACGAAAAAAATAAATGTATGTAAAAAAAAAACAAGAAATATTATTTTAATTTAACGCAACCTTAATTTGATAAATTATAATTTGTTTATATATTTTCATGTAAAGCCACTATAGTTAATTATTCCTTCGCGTCATTATTTTAAGGTAATTTAGGTTTTAAATATGTTAAGCAAAAATCATGTTATCCAGTGCTGTAGAAGTACAGTACTGTACAAAGGTTTTCGCAACTTTCTTATCGTGTTAGAGCAAAACCGTGTTATAGGATGCCGTGTTGCAGGAGGTCTACCTGTACTCTGAATCCTGATTATATTCATATATTTTTTTTTTATCATTACATTCTCTATGGTTATCGTACAATAATTAATCTGTTTTTTCGTTTATGAAAAAACTTAATTATCTTTACTGCTATGTGCTTAATATCCTATCCAACGTTCACTGAAATAAACGATAGAGGTTCTTGTGTAAAAAAAAACAAATACTGGTTTAATTAATTTATCCGTTTCCGTTGCACAGTAAAACGTAAATATGTATGCGAATATACGTTTCATTTTCTTCTCTTTGATAAGTAATTATAACTTCTGACTCTATGGACGCAATATAGAATGTTGAATGAAAAACTGCGCGTTCCTCTGCATATGTACTTACATATGTACATCGGCAAATAACCTACTAATATATACTATATGAATATTCAAATATTTGCTTCCATCCGTCAAAAGTAAGCACACAATATATCGATCATATTACCGAATATCTAACGTCGTTGAAATACGTCAGATAATACGTATATGGCGATAGAATACATATTCGTTGTGATAAAATTTGATTTGTTTTCAAATAGCTAAAAAAATATATACGATATTATATAATAGTTAATTATTACTTTAACCGAGTTACTAAGTTTATTAGTAATTGTATTCTAATTGAACGTTTTATTTATTGGTGTCACAATTCTTTTTCTAACGAATTAATTATTTATCTCCTTACAAAATGATATCTATTTACTTACAAAAACAGAATCGACAATAATGTTTAAAAAATGATAGTTATCGATTTTTAAGATTGCATATTCGCATAAACATCATAAATGAAACTATATTTGATTACAAATTTAAATTCCAAAATATCCTGTTAATTTAAATGTACTCTTCAAGTCGGAGTAATCTCTCATAAATTCTGAAGAAACAGTGGTGGACATGTACTTACAAACATGCTAATAATTACATTTTCATTGTTGTTATTTTGTTATAAAAAGATTTGTTATTTACATCGTTCTATTTTTATTATATGTTGAGGTAGATACTATTATTCTCTGTTGTATCTCTTACATAACTTTGTTATTGTAGACGGTGAATAACACTTTGTCTTAACCCTTCGACAGTGTTTCGGACACATTTAGCGTCTTACGAACGCTATTACAATGTATGCTTACATCATTTGTTTTGAATTTGTTGATTTTCGAAGCAGTTTTTGCTAGTTTGTCCGTATGATTTATGTCAAATTTATGTAAGACTTCGTATTGGTGAGGAATTTTATACAAAGTGTACCAAATCAACTGTTAAAGGAGATGGTGGATCCGTATTTGTTTGGGGTTGTATGACCATTAATGGTACAGGTCCTATCTGTCGTATCGAAGGAACGATGGATTGTTTTGTTTATTTAAACATTGTTAAGAACATTTGATTGCCATTTGCTGACCATAAATTATCAGCAGATTGAATTTATCAGGCTGATAATGATCCAAAGCATATGGCAAAAATTGTAAAACAATTTTTGGATGAGAACAAAATTAATGTTTTGAAATGGCCGGCGCAAAGTACGGATTTAAATCCAATTGAGATGCTTTGGATCGACGTTGGTAGGAAAATAGGACATAAAAAGCCAAAAACTGTTAACGAATTATACAAAGTAATAGAAGCTTCCTGGAATTCGATTCACATTAATCGATGCATTTGTTTAATGCAATTTATGTAAAGACGTTGTGCAGCAGTCATTAAAGCAAATGGCAAAACAACAAAATACTAGAATTAATATGAGTTAATGCAATATTTAATCTAATCTTACTATTAAAAACAATGTTATGACATCGATAATATATTGTTCGTAAGTATATGCCTGTAAGACGAAACGCAAGAAAGACTCTAATTATTGTTATCTTCTTCAAAATTTTAATTAATTAATATTTATCATGTATTTTTTAAATATATGTATACATATGTATGTCATTAAGAAAACGTAGTACTAATTAATTATACCTTTCCTATGTTTTATTACTAACAACAGAATCTAACCTTAACAAGTGTTCGTAAGTATATGTCCGCCACTGCATGTACATACGAGTATAAAATATTCACGGGTGTACAGTGAGCCACAGCCATAATCGTATACCACATATGAAAATATGTTTCATTCGAAAAAAGAAGTTTCTGGATGATTTGGAAAAAAAATAAGGCAGACATGTATTATAAATATATCTGTATTTATTGCGTAATAATGACAAAAGAAATGAATATTGCTTAACATCAAAAAAATAAAGTTACTACGGCGCAGAAAACATCTCACAGCTAAAGTCGTACGCTATTCTCTTATCTGGTATTCCCCTCCAGGAATTCCCGAAAAGAAAGGAATATTTGTTTTAGCTTGCTAGCAAATGTGGTATTGCATCGAAGTAAGAAAATAAATCGTAATAATAGTAAAAATGAAGCAGACGACACTAGAGGCCCGAGAAATTGTGGCGACGAACTTTAAAGATGGGAAAAGCTATTGAGAAATTGCAAAAATTATTGGTAGAAGTATTGGCACTGCTCAATACATTATTTAACGCTATAGAGAAGAAAATAGAATTACAAATAAATTAAGAACAGCACTGAACAAAAACTGTAATGCGAACTATGAGCGATGAATAGTTAAAAAAATCAAAGAAAATTCAAAGTTGAGTGTAGCTAAATTGTCAAACGAGGTGGAAAAATATTTGCAAAAATCTGTTAATCGAAAAATTGTAAGAAGAGTACTAAGAAAGAATGATTTTCATGGGCGTACTTCAAGCAATAAACCATTTGTCAACGATAAAAATAAGAAAAGGAAACTGAAGTTTGCGAGACGGTATCTAACTAAGGATTTTAGTTTTTGGAAAGAAGTTATTTTTGCCGACGAAAGCAAATTTAATCTTTTTCATTCAGATTGCAAAGTTACTGTATGGCGTAAACCTAATGAAGAATTTAAAATAAAAAATATGAATCTAACTATTAAACATGGAGGTGGGTCAGTGATGATTTGGGGGTGTATATCAGCTATTGGAACAGAAAATTTGTAATTTATTAAAGAGAACATGGACAAATTTGATTATTTGAATATTTTAAAAAAGAATTTAACAAGCAGTGCCGAAAAATTAGGAATTTTGAATTGTTTTAAATTTTATAGTGATAATAAAACCCAAAACATATGTCGCATATTGCCAAAATGTGGCTATTTTGTAACTGCCCGAAAGTTATCAATACACCTTCTCATTCACCCGATCTAAACGTAATTGATAATATTGTGCATGAATTACAAGTAAGGAATAAAAAACATATGATTTCTAATGAAAATGATTTAAACAAGGCATTGCAAAAAGAATGGAGAAAAATTGAATCCGATTTTACACAAAACTTAGTAAAATCAATGCTGAAAAAGTTACATGTCGTAGAATGCAGCCGAGGATACTCTACAAAGTACTAATTTTTAATATAATTTAAATATAAAACAATATTCTTAATGTGTACGATTTTAGCTGTGAGATGTTTTCTGCAACGTATTATAGTAACTTAATTTTTTTTATGTTAAGCAATATTCATTTCTTTTGTCATTATTACACAATAAATACTGATACATTTACAATAATATGTCTGCCTTATTTTTTTCCAAATCATTACTAAACTTCTTTTTTCGAATGAAACATATTTTCATATGTGGTGTACGATTTTGGCTGTGACTCACTGTATGAACATCACCGTAAAATGTAGGAGAATTATTTACGAAGTACTAAAACCTGTTTAATTTAACCTCTCACAGACGAGATACCGTTAATAGAGAAAGCATATCCAGAATGCACCGGAAGCTACATCATAATAGACATCAACTGTTGTACAAGTGATTCGATGCTAAGATTGAATCATTCCGCTGGAAAAGAAGACATCGTGTAGAAAATATACGTACGTTCGTCTTTGTCAATCTATTCGCAGAGTAGAAAAGCGTAGATGCGACCGCGTAGACGACGAAATAAACACATAATAAAGTATACGGTAAAGTGCGTGTGTTGTACGTGCAGGTTAGGTATGAAAGTAGGTACAACGGTGGACGATATCAAACAGCGCTATCGGGGGATCGGAGCGTTCGGACGATCTCGGCTCTTGCCGATGTCTCACGAAGCGGGCCGAAAGCAAAGCGCGCGGCAGACGGTCTTCGCGCGCCGAGCTATCTGGTTGGCACTCGTGTCGAGTCGGGACACTTGTATTCGAATTGACGTCGCACATCTCTCGTTTCTACCTCGTTTTGTCCTCGTGTTTTACGCTGATCGTACTCACGTCAGTTTTATCGTTGAGTTTTGTGCTCCGTCCGATTGTAACGCGCGATCGACACCGGGCAGTTTCTTCGCTACAAAGGAAGTTAGACAGTGCGTTTTTTTTGTGATGTGCATGAAAACGATGAGCCACTTCAAGATGACGATCGCCTGGGTCTGCCTCATCGGCTTGTTGTGTTCTACGGCTGTTAAAGGTGCGACAGAAGTAACATCAGTACTTTCCTTTTCACATATGTATCGTTCGACGCAACTCTTTGGAATATAATAACATTAATAACGCGTCACGAACGCCGCATTTGAGGTTAGCTATGCGCGCGTAATATTTCTTCGCACAACGTACCTTCGTAATCGATGCGTTCGATCGATTTAACGAAGGTTTCGAATTCTCGTTTTAAAATGGTGGTTTAAGCGACGGGAATTGAATACATCGAAAATATACATTCGTTAAACGCGTTTTATGCAATCGAATGCAATAGTGTAACTTTTGCGTTGTTCGCGAGAACTCGTATCGGATCGTTCTAGTTTTAAACTATTCGGTGAAACACGTACTCGCCGATGAAAATTATGACTGATCGAAATGTAGATGCGGATAGCGCTAACGACGATTTGACTGGTCGTGAACGTGGCCAATTCTAGGTTGAAATCATGCTCGATTAGTTAGCGAGACAGACTGGTGCCAGACTGCGACTAAGTTTCATCGCGCCGCACTACAGGAATGATCAAACGAATTACAGCTGACTCTGAGTAGTGAATTTATTGCTGGGAAACTACAACGGTAACCTTTACGCGTTCCTTGGTTTCTCGTCATGCGAGACGACGACTGGCGTGGTAATTCGTCCGATCATTGCTAAGGTCAAGCGTTGAATACCCGGCATCACGGTCATATTTAACCGTGAAGCAAACGTGAATGAAAATTGTACAACCCAAACGGTTTAAAGGGTCGACAATTCGTGGAAATAGTTCCCTTCGTGTAAACAGTTTTCTTGGAAAGCGTTTAAGTAGCGCGTTGTCTTAACCTTACTTTAACACATCCGTAGCTGATAGCTTATCTCTAGAATTACGTTCTCGAATAGATACGATTTGGAAATTGGAAATTCAAAAAAGTTATCGAGCGCACCTAAGGGAAACGTCCCTTGTGAATTATGTTGTGATAGTGGGAAATTTATCATCGCGATATTCCACTTTCTGCGTTCGTGATAACATGATTTTTTCCTTTTCCCCTGATAATTATATTTTCGTTGATTTCTTTTTTTTTATTATTATGCAATTATAGAATTTTATGATTTGTACTGTCAATCCGTACAACGAGCAACAATGGCACGGTGTTATAGTTTGTTGCTTTTTATTAGAACTTTAAAACGTCACGTCTTCTGTGAAATTCAACCCGTTGTCTTACGATTTAGAAATAACTGAGCGTAGTGATCAATGAGAAACGTTTGCAAACCGATTCAACTTAGCTTTTACTATAGGCTTGAATTTGATATAATTGCGACAAAGAACTTTTAAAACTTTTGAATGCAAAATTCACTTTGTTTTTAAATTTTGTAAACATTCATTGTGGATACAATGTGACACAATGTATACATTGTAATCCAAAAATGATCGATTTATACTTTTTAACCCTTAACTGGTACGATACTTTACTGTTACACTAATGGATGAATTTTCACCCACACACCTCAATTACAATATTATTGTTTAATAGTGCAATATAGCAGTCACAGAAGAACAGTTCGCTATTATTAGTGCTGAAACGGAAAGAACAATCGTGCACAGGCAACAATGTATGTAAATTTGTTACATCACAACGAAGAAACAAAATTTCTCTCGATTGAATTTTCACCCATAGTATTCATTAAAGGTTAAGAAAGTAAATCATTGTATTTGCTATCATTTAAGATTACCGCGGCATTAGATATCATTTTTCTCTTTGAATATACTCCAACATATCTAAGCTTTTTTTGGCCGAGACATTATTCACGGGTCATCTAATATCTACGAAGCTTTACAGAATTTAATTCTTTCTAATTGTATGATAAGATATGAAAAGGACAACTGTCGGAAAAGTAAGAATTCATTAAATTATATCAGCAGAGATTGAGCATGGATGACAGTAAGATAGAAGACTACTGCGCGTCGCGAGTGAAACTCGTCAATTATAAGACAACGGGTTTTCAGAAAAACCGTGAAAGAAAGTCAAAAAGATAAATTGTTATATTAAATTGTACGAAAGCTTGAATTACGATGAATCCACGTATACTTTTTCTTCGATTTTACTTCTCTATTGAATTAGAGAATGCACCGGGATCATATAAAAGTTTTGTTTTTGGTAAACCGTGGCTCATAGATGACCATGCTTCTTCAATCATTCGTGTCTTTCTCATCTTCGATCGATAGGTACATATTTATGTGCGTAATATGTGACACGTCGATGAAACTTGCGAATCTTCTTATCAAATATTAATTCATGAGCTGTTATTAGCAACTTCGTAAAGTTGATCGACCACGGAAACTTTTAAGCAACTTTTTGAGAATTCTGTGTCTGACGAGATTTCATAAATAATAATATATTTTCACATAGAAAATTTATTGCTGTAGAAAAGTTTGTTACCCTAGTTTGGGAATAGCATTCAGGGTCAGAATATTTTCCCTCGATGGTTTATAAATTTTGCAGTGGCTGGGTAGTATCCTGTTTGAATTCGATTACCATGTAAAACAGACGTCCTTCTTTCTCTTTCCTGACGTTGTATTACTTTTCCCATCGTCGGTACAAAGTAAAACGAAACGGTTACTTTCCTTGGAAGTAGGTATGAAACAAAGCGGTCTGTTTGATATTTATCGATCTGAGTTATGAATAATACTCTGCATCGAGCAACCATCAGGTTTTGCTATTCGCTGCAATAAAACGATTCAAATCATTGCCTGCTACACCAACTCTCTTGACAGTTTCTTCTTATACATTTCAAGTAAAATGACATAAAAAGATGATGTTGACATTACTGACCAACGATGATAACTTTGTACGTTTCTTTTTATTCTTTACCTTAACGAACTTTTACGTAATTATTGCTTGTACGCTGCTTCCACTCTTGTACCATGCACCGATAAACGCAAAGAAGTTGTAATTAAATGTTAGTAAATATAACGTAATAAAAGCACCGAGCACGGTGAAACTCGTGTACTAATTAGTACACCGTTATATCATAATTACTCTCGATAAACTTCATTATCGATGCGAGGGCGCAGTATTATGACTAAAGTTTCACGCAACGAAGTGTTTGTGTAGAAAATCGAACGATTTGTGAAATATTATTTCACAGGGTGAAAACATTTGGAAAATTAAATACTTGACGCGCGAGAAGAGTCAAGGTGAAAATTCTTGTACGGAGAATTATAATCTTGCTCACGTGCAAGCCACCGTAGAACACGGCTAGGGATACGCCTCGCGTACACGGAAAGTTTAAGGTCACATTTACACGAAATGCCTTTCCCTCTATGCGACTCGGACTTAACTCGTGCTTACCTTGAGCTGTAAAGAAAGGTCGATGCAAATGATGCAATCAAAAACGCTAAAGATAGGTCTTGACACAAACGATGGAAATCATAAGCATTGCAGATTCTATAGGAACTTGATTCGTTAGGATTAAACAATTTATTAGAAAAACTAATTCGATGGGTGGTCTTTTCTCTGCATTTTTGATGTTCGATCAAAGTAATCTTTTAATCCAGTTTCACCCAGCCTTTCTCGAGTTGCAATTTCCTTTTATAATAACCTATAACCGATATCGTATATTCTCAAAACGTAACTAGTGTCGAAAATTTTAATTTCTCAATATATACTATTGAAAAATTAAAAGCAGCAACTTTTTTAGTATAATAATCTTTATTTTACGTAGTTAATTACGCAAAATAAAGCAGCTCTATATTAAGTTAGTTACAGAAATGTAAAAATATTCCACGATACCAATTAATGCAATCCGCTGATTGTACTCGTACCGGAGCAACTAGCTTCAAAATTCGTGGCTGAGTGTTGAGTAAAGCTAATCTCGTGTCATAATGAATATTACGGACTTTTAATATTTTTAAAAGATTTTCTTTTGAAGAAAAACTGAATAAGTGATGAAATTTTATAGAAAAATAAATTAATGTTGTATTTGACAAGCTTACACTGTCTTTGGAACTGAACAGCATGAACTTTATTGTATCTTTCGAAAAAGAAATTATTTGTTGGTAATTTGTATAGATTAAAGCATATAACTCGAACACTCCGATCATTCTGTAAATAATAACTTTAACAAAAATTGTTTCTGGTGAACGTTGTGTGGTTTTATAAATATTAGAATATTAGATATCTCCTTATTAAAATACCATGATCAGGAACTTCTATAAAATTTTCTCAATGCAGCGTTAATCGTATCGGATATTGGTTTAAATAATTCGGTCACCAGTTTCAAATACAGTGGATTTCGATCGACTGGTACACATTGGGTGAAAAATATTTGACCCAATTACATAAAGTTCTACGAATACTGTTACAATTATTGTGTTCATCGAAATTTCACCTAAATAAATAATCGATTCGATAAATTGGTGGTCTAATTATACAGGGTACGCTGCATTTTAAAAATTTCATCAAGATTCGAGCTAAATATTCAATAGGGATATCTCTTTATTTAATATACAATACGTAGCATCATTTAAAATTGTACACTTTGTAGTTCGATTTTCGTGAAATATTATTCGAATAGTATGATTTCCCGAGACATTAATATTAAATTGAAAATAGTTATTTAAATAATATTTGTCGTAATGTAACTGGAATGATCGAGCATGGGTTCAATTAAACAAGTCTTACTCAGCATCAAAGAAGTTACGTTGCAATTATGTACGACCATATCCTTTTACGAGAGCGTAATATTGATTCTAAAGATTCGGTGAGTCAGCGTTGATCGATGGCCGCGAGTCATCTGACCAAGGATAAGAGTCTCGGGCATTTGTCTTTTGCACAGAATACGCAAGCTATATGCAGGTCGCTTCAGGGTCTAGATAATCCAGTTTCACAGCCCACGCATACCAATAGTAGAGGTGGTTAATGTACGACCTACGGTCGGTCAGAGACCCCATCAATCCTCCGGGCTATTCGGTCGAAAATTACCGAGTTAAAAGGAGAAGATTTTATCTCGGCAATCGTACT